AGGATGGTGCACGTCATCATAATGCTCTGAAGCACCTCTTCATCAAACATACGAGCAGCCCCCCTAATGATTGCCCACTGATCTTGGAGGATACTAAAACATCTTTCCACATTTTTCCTATAACCCTCTTGATAGGCATCAAAGTATTTTTCATTCTCTAATTGGGGATGCGGAATTGTTTTGACGAATGTTGTCCACCTTGGGTAAATTTCGTCTCCTAGGTAGTATCCACCCGAGTAGATAGTATTGTTGATTTTATACGTGATATGAGGAGATTGACCTCTCAACAAATCATTAAACACCAAGGATTGACCGAGCATGTTAAGGTCGTTTTGAGATCCCACAACTCCGAAAAAGGCATGCCAAACCCATGTATCGAATGATGCAACCGCTTCTAGAATGATACTTTTTTGGCCATTCCTATACCCATAATCTCCTTGCCAGGCGGTTGGGCATTTCTTCCACTGCCAGTGTATGTAGTCGATGCTTCCAGTCATGTATGGGAAACCTCGAGCCTTGGCTTTTTGTAGAAGCCTTTTGAGGTCCCTAGGCGTAGGTTTGCGGAGGTAATCCTTCGTGTAGATAGTTTCGATTGCATCACAGAATCTGACCAAACTTTCTTGGATATTGGATTTCTCCATCCTAGAAATCCCATCCACATGGTCTGCAGATGTGCCAAATGCCAGCATCCATAAAGAAGCTGTAGGTTTTTGCTCCGGAAAAAGACCCAAAATCCCAATAGCATCGTACTTCTGAACGAAATATGCGTCGTAATTGCAAACATCATGCATGATTTTATTGGACAAATGGGGCTGCATTCTATATTTCCCTTGAAAATCAAAACAAGAGTATAACGAATTTGGGATAACGTAATGTTGTTATGTTAACTCGCAATTGTACGGGCCAATTAGTAGTATAGTAAGACAAGTACGAGGTCATACCCACGACGACTGTGAAGTTAAACTTAGTTATGTACTTAGATTACCCGATTCTAGAAAATTGGAAGTTAAGTCGAAAACATATTTTAAAGTGAGATTGAGTTTGGAAACAAATGAAGCAAAATGAAATTGGAATTTGAAGTGAGAATGCTTGTGATTGTGAAAGCAAATGAACAAAATGAAATTGCAAACGAAAGTAAGTAAACAAGTGTAACAAAGAGTGGTCTTAAGGTTGAAAAACAAATTTGGAGACTAGGGCATTCAATTCACCATAACAATTTAATTCTAGGTTATAAGGATGTAACAAGTCTAATTCATATTCAAAGATTGATTCTAGCTAAAGTATGATTAAGCCATGGTGTCTGGTCCTAACCTTGTATTCCTAATTCCCTAATTAGATCCTTTTTGTCGAACTTAAATTAAGCATTAGAAATTCATTAAGCATAGAAGAACATTTTAAACAACCAAGCATGTATCTAATCCTTGTTGTCAAATGTCCATACATACTCTTCCTATTCATAGTTCAATTAGAATTAAAGCATATGGTGTCTACTCTTAATTGCAACCATGATACACAAAAATTTGAATGGTAGCTAGGCATTCCGATTAGCATACAGGCAGGCAGGCATAATGAATAAGAACATGAATCATGAATCAAACTTGAAATTTATAAACCCAGAATATTCATGTTAGGTTACATCGAAGCCCTAGAATGGATTTAGCTACTCATAATGGGGAAGAAACTTAAACAGAAATGAGAAAACATAATGAATGCAATAAGAATAGAAAACCCCTTTTATGAAGTTCTTGTGGTATCCAATGCTTCTCCATGTCTAATGCCTCTCCAAGAGCTTCCCCACATTTAGAATGATGTATAAAGGTTAAGGAGGTGATTTGGGATGAGTTTGGGTGAGTGGTGATGGCTGAGAAAAAGGAAATTCATAGGGAAATGGAAGAGAGGCTTGCTGGGACATGGTGATTTGGGGCTGTTTAGAGTGTTGGGTTGATTGTTGGAGTATTTGGGGTATGATGGGAGTGTGGAAGATGGAGTGAAGGATGGAAGTGTGAATCCCACAATGTGTGTCTTCCTTTGGTTTTTATAGGGAGAATGAAAGGAGAATTCTGAATTGATTTATGCCACCACCAACAACACTCACTTCACCAAACTGACCTAACACACCAATGCAATAGAATTCTGAATTGATTTGGCTGTTGCACTTCACCAAAAAATCCCACCAGAAACCATAGCTCATGCATAGCTCATCATGACCAAGCAACAATCAACTCATCCTTAGGTCAGCATGACTAGCAACTTCATAGGCTCACAAATTGGGCTTCCCTTAAGCAACTGATGATTTTGAGCCATCCATGTTGAAGCTTAGAATGTCATCTTTCCAACCACATGTCATTTGGGCCAATCTAAGGTCGGATGAAGATCTTAAGGCTGAAACGAATTGCTAACTAAGTCTGCACGTTTTTGCACCATTTTGCATCTTTCCCTATCCAAAGCCACCATGGCTACCTAAAGCTCAAATAATTGAATGATAAACACAAAGAGATTAAAAGCACAAGTTTAACTAAAAAAATATAACCAAATCATAAACTAGAAGGGTTCAAAATGATATACAATTATGAACTGATCACGTAATCTTCCAAGAGATTCTTACCCCGAGAGTGCCTACATGTGTCCATGTTCGGGCCATGGCCGGGTTGTGAACCATAGTGGTGTTGGCTTGATTGATCAAGCATACCCATTGCCATGACAACTTGATCATCATCTACTTCCCTCACCCTTTCTTCTTCAACATGTTTGCACATTCTTTCTTCATTTTCTCGCTCGGTCATCTCCAACAACCTTTTCTGTAAGACATTGAAAATAGAATGTGTTTTGTAAAATATGAGAAATGAAAGGATAGAGAGGATATGGATGATTGCTGTGAGTTGAGGCTATGGTTTTATAGAGGGATTTAGAAGATAGAGATGACATGTGGCTCAATTGTAGTAATTGAAAATCTTATTCGAAATCTAAGATGTGAATTTTATAATAAATATGGACATGTGGCAACCCAAAATCTTATCTGAAATATGAGATGTGAATTTTATAATAAATATGGATATGTGTCAATCGAAAATCTTATTCGAAAATTTTATCCGAAATATGAGATGTGAATTTTATAATAAATATTGACGTGTGGCACCAAAAATCGTATCCGAATTAATTGTTTAAGTATAAAAAATAAAATTAATTTAAAGTGAATACTGATTACCCTTTGCCATAGCAATGGGTGGAAACCCAACTAGCCTTTTGCAAGGGTTGGCACTATTCACGTGAAAAGTATCTCTTGCCTCCTCTTGCCCTTTGCAATGGAAAATGGTTGGAAATGCCTTTATAGTAAAAAGTTAAAAACAAAAAATAAAATGGAGTGTAAATGGACAAAAGAGAAATAGGAAAATCAACACAAGTCTTAAATAGTGTCTCCTTATTATCCCTACCTCTTTAATGCAAGAGGGCTATTTTAGAATAAAATTTGTGAAACAAAATGTCTTGAAAACCGTAGCTTCATTACAAACAAAATGTCTTGAAAACCGTAGCTTCATTCACGTGTCATGTTGATTAATGGCTGTAATGTTCCAGTCTACTCCTATGTCATCCTATTTCTAATGCATGTCTACCCCTATAATGTTCCAGTGTATGGTAATAACACTACTAGTTTCCTATGACATCCTATTTCTAATGCATGTCTACCCTTGTAATGTTCCAGTCTAGGGTAATAACATTGCTAATTTCATATGACATCCTATTTCTAATACATGTCTACCCCTGTAATGTTCCAGTCTATGGTAATAACACTGCTAGTTTCATATGACATCCTATTTCTAATACATGTCTACCCCTGTAATGTTCCAGTCTATGGTAATAACACTGCTAGTTTCATATGACATCCTATTTCTAATACATGTCTACCCCTGTAATGTTCCAGTCTATGGTAATAACACTGCTAGTTTCATATGACATCCTATTTCTAATACATGTCTACCCCTGTAATGTTCCAGTCTATGGTAATAACACTGCTAGTTTCATATGACATCCTATTTCTAATACATGTCTAATGACATCCTATTTTTAATGCATGTCTACCCCCTGTAATGTTCTAGTCTAGGGTAATAACACTACTAGATTCCTATGACATCCTATTTCTAATGCATGTCTACCCCTGTAATGTTCCAGTATGGGGTAATAACACTGTTAGTTTCCTATGACATCCTATTTCTAATGCATGTCTACCCTTGTAATGTTCCAGTCTAGGGTAATAACATTGCTAGTTTACTGGCATGTTGATTAATGGCTGTAATGTTCCAGTCTAGGGTAATAACATTGCTAGTTTTCTATGACATCTTATTTCTAATGCATGTCTACCCCTGTAATGTTCCAGTATGGGGTAATAACACTGTTAGTTTCCTATGACATCCTATTTCTAATGTATATCTACCCCTGTAATGTCCCAGTCTATGGTAATAACACTTCTAGTTTCCTATGACATCCTGTTTCTAATGCATATCTACCCTTGTAATGTTCCAGCCTATGGTAATAACATTGCTAGTTTACTGTCATGTTTATTAATGCTTGTCATGCTGCTATTTCTAATACATGTCCACCAAAGAAAAGATGAAGAAAGAACAAACCAGATCAACTCAAAACAAGCCGAGCCTAGATTGTTAATACTATTATGTCATAGAAGTACATTATTAATACTCTGTCATAGAAGTACATTGTTAAAGAAAAATGAGATCCATAACTGAAATAGTAACAAATGATAAATCGATCATCAAAGCTTAAAATAGATTTCGAAAATCAACTAAAATCCGAAGATTAATGCTTGTCATGCTGCTATTTCTAATACATGTCCACCAAAGAAAAGATGAAGAAAGAACAAACCAGATCAACTCAAAACAAGCCGAGCCTAGATTGTTAATACTATTATGTCATAGAAGTACATTATTAATACTCTGTCATAGAAGTACATTATTAATACTCTGTCATAGAAGTACATTATTAATACTCTGTCATAGAAGTACATTATTAATACTCTGTCATAGAAGTACATTATTAATACTCTGTCATAGAAGTACATTATTAATACTCTGTCATAGAAGTACATTATTAATACTCTGTCATAGAAGTACATTATTAATACTCTGTCATAGAAGTACATTATTAATACTCTGTCATAGAAGTACATTATTAATACTCTGTCATAGAAGTACATTATTAATACTCTGTCATAGAAGTACATTATTAATACTCTGTCATAGAAGTACATTATTAATACTCTGTCATAGAAGTACATTATTAATACTCTGTCATAGAAGTACATTATTAATACTCTGTCATAGAAGTACATTATTAATACTCTGTCATAGAAGTACATTATTAATACTCTGTCATAGAAGTACATTATTAATACTCTGTCATAGAAGTACATTGTTAAAGAAAAATGAGATCCATAACTGAAATAGTAACAAATGATAAATCGATCATCAAAGCTTAAAATAGATTTCGAAAATCAACTAAAATCCGAAGAGAAACACATAATTGAAGCAAAAGATCAAAAATCTCAAGTCCAAACCAAACGACGACGATAACAATGACGATGATGACGACAATGTGGCGGAAGAGGAGTAGAGCTAAGAGCATCTGATCGAGGTTCGTTCAAGGTTTTGAACAATCCGAAAAGAAAAAAAAATCAATAGAAGCACGATTTTAGAACAAGAAATCAAATGTGAAATATTGAAAATTGTAAATCATAGATGAAGAATAATGTTGGACTTGAGACTGAGCTTCAATGGAAGCTCATCTTGCTCCAACACCGAGAAAGCACCAACGAGAAAGGAGAAAATAAATCTGATTTAGTTTTTTGGCAGATCTGGGCAGATCTGATTTTTCTTTCTCAAATTCATAATACAAGGGCAATATAGATATGACACACACAAATAAACTAAAAAATAGCTTTTAAATTGAAAAAAATTGACAAATTTCGATTTTTGGGTGTGTTTTTATAGTTTTTAAATAGTATAAGTTTCTTTATAAGACTATGTGTAAGATTGGGTATATAACTAAATTTGTAAAGAAAAAAAACCTCAAAATTATAAAACCGGATCGAGGGGTTTTCAAGTCATCCTTGAGTGACCTTGTTAACATAAAAAACAAAACAAAGTGAGCAAGCAAATGCCCCAAAAAACCAAAAGCAAAGCGTAGCGTTGCTCCAGCTGCCGGCGGCCTGGACATAAAAGTTTCTACGATCTTTTGGCTCTCAGAAGAAACTTCTTTTTTCTCTTTGCTCGAATCTCTCTAATACTTCAGTCCTGAACTCTCTGAAACACCACCACCACTACAGGCACAGAGAGAGAAGAAGAAGAAGAGAATGGCCACAGCTGCTTTCAACTTAGCTCTAATAAACCCGTCGACTTTCATTCTTCCAAAGTCTCCAAACCCTACAAAGCTTAGGGTTTGCACTCTCAGATGCTCCTCCGCCACCACAAACGCGGTCCCAGGTACTGCTAGTACTCTTTCATTCCCTCATTTCAATTGTTGTTCCTGGTTATGCCAACTGTTCCAGCCCACTAGTGTGCCTCAGGGTTGAAATATTCTTTATCTGATTTATAAAAAAAAAAATTATATTTAATGCACTGACAGTTGATTTCTCAGTCATTGTATTGGAGGGCAAGTAGATTGGGTGCCATGGAAATTTTAATTGAAAATAAATATACAAAATGATGGGTTTGTTTGGTTAAACAATCCACAAGTCATTCAGCTATGTAATTCTTGTTCTTATGTTCAGCAAACATGTTTTGGATGAATAAACAATCAGTTGAACTGCAAATTTCGGTATCATATGTGTTGCACATTAGGATTTTTTACATTCTATGTAGAAGTTTCAAGAGTTTATAATGTTAGATGTTTAGTTCCTTACTAATACCGGGTTAATATTGCAATTTTTTTTTTTAATACTGAAACTTTCTCCCTTCCCATTTGTATTTTTCATCGCTGTTCCACAAGAATATCTTAGCTCGCTAGACCCTTATACTTTGATCTCTACACTTCATATTATTTTTTATGATTTAGGTTTGTCAGAGAGACCTTGGAAGACTTCAGATGCTAGACTTGTGCTTGAAGATGGTTCAATCTGGAGAGCAAAGTCATTTGGTGCTACAGGAACCCAAGTTGGTGAAGTTGTATTCAACACATCCTTGACCGGGTAAGATGACTTAATGGTGCATTTCCCAGGAATTTATCTTAACATGTCAACTATCATGTCACTTTCTTTCTTGTGGGATTTAGCTGCTATAATACAAGGGGTTTCTCAACCTTTTACCGTGGACCCTCCTATATTGACTTGAGCAGTATATTTACTTGCACGAGTATTTCCTAGCCTTTTTGAAAACTATTGCAATGTTAAGTTATTCCAGCAATTACTTCCCTGCTATGGTATAATTCCTTTTCCTGATTTAGTTTATTCATTGCTAAGACAAAAAAAAAGGTGGAATTTGAGTCATTACCATGGTGACGATGTTCATATTTTTATGGTCGAGTGGTCAGGCCTGTGGTTTTCCCCCATGTGGTCTGGGGTTTGATTCATCAAGATAGCCTAGCAATTTTCTAGAGTTTCCTGCCTCCCAATGATTGTTGGGTTATGCATGAGGCCCCAGTTTTGAGTTCAAATGAGCAAAGCGGGTTGGTGGGATTTCTGAGTATATATAAATAAATAATAGATATTTGCGTGCACAAGGGTATAGGAATATGGAGAGGTTGGTTTTACATGTCGTGGCATGTTTTGATTTCTCAGACTAGTTGATTTATTCCTTCCTAGGTGCAAAATAGACAGAATCTGAGTGATTATTATGGTGCTGGTGTTGATATTTATGTGGCCTGGGCCACAGGAGTTTGGGGAGGTTGAATGAGCAGCTTATGTTTTCCTCTGTGTTTATACATGTAGATATATTTTGAATTTTTTGTATAAATTTTTTCAACCAACAGTAATAGTTGACTCCCAACTATTCTATGGGCCAACAAACATGCATGATTTGCCCGTATTGGTAGAAGAGATATATAGCCTCCATGCCTTCTTACCTGGATGGCATTGTCTTTTTATTTCTTCCTACTTCCTAATAGGTAAACTACATGCACCTACCAGGCACTCAATCCTGAAACACACCCACCACACTTGTTGTTAAGGGGAAGGAGGGTGTTGTTAGGCCCATAGACCATTGGCTAGCAATTGTCGTTCAAATGAGTCAAACTAAGTGCCAAGTACCTTCGTGCACATTACATTGTTGTGAAATGTTCTTTCCTACAAGCCATGGTTTCTCCACCTCAAAATGTGTGAATATGTTAACTTGCTTGGATGCCGTCTATTAGTCAAATTACTACATAAGTCCGTCACTAAACGTTTGAGTAATTATTGAGTCATCTAAGTACAACCTGGCCAACTATATTGAAATATTATACATCTCCTGTCTTTCTTCCATCTGAAAGTGAAGATAATAAATATTGTTATTTTGTTACATTGGAG